TATATATATATATATATATATATATATATATATATATATATATATATATATATATATATATATAGACTATATAGTGTATAATGTTACAAAAGCTTTTTATTTCAGATAAATGCCGATCTTTGGATCTTTCTATTCATCAAAGAATCCTGAAGAAAATGTACTCAACTGTTTTAAATATTGATAATAATAATAAGAAGAAATGTTTCTTGAACAGCAAATCAGCATATCAGAATGACTTCTGATGGATCATGTGACACTGACTGAAGACTGGAGTAATGATGCTGAAAATGTAGCTTTGATCACAGGAATAAATTACATTTGAAAACATTCAAATAGAAAAGCAGTTATTTTAAATAGTAAAAAAATATTTCACAAAATTACTGCTTTGCTGTATTCATTATTGCTGTATTTGGATAAAATTTTGACAGGAGTAGTGAGCAGAAGAGACTTCTTTAAAAAACATAAAAAATCTTACTGTTCAAAAACTTTTGACTGGTAGTGTATTTCTTTTATATGGTGTGTAAACATTTTTAAATACATTCTCCTCTCTGAAGCTCTGAATATTTTTCTTCGCAATTATTCAAACTGAACGCAACATACTCCAACTTTCTGCCAACATCTGTGATCTCCCACTGTTAAATGCACTACTTTTTCGCTTTGAAAATAGTAAAGTAGTACTAATAAACAGAAACGAATGCCACTAAACAATGAAAACACATTAACCTCAAAAAATGATGCATGACAGTGTTGGTAAGGATAAAAAAAATAATAATAATGTAGAAGAAACAAAGGTTTCACAGTCACCACATGTCAGCAATCATTTTTAAATTCTGATTTTGATGTTAGATGTTAGATTTATACGTTAGATCTCAGCTAATGTATACAGACAATAACATCCTCCCAAAAATGTTGGCCTTATCACAGGTATCAGTGACAGCTGTGCTATTGCCTAGAGCAGTCCTAAGGTGCCTGGAACCCCACAGGAGAAGATCTGCATTTCCTAAACCCTTGGGTCCTGCAGCTCTATCGGTAGAATATCAGTACCAACACCGTGATTTTAAAAAGCAGCAGAAGTAAATTCAACATACTATCCTGAAGTCTGCTGTGAAAACACACACACCGCATGTAGGCAAGAGAGGAGAACATTGTGTTTGACATTCATGTCTTTCTCTCCCTCTCTCATTCTCAGATCACCAAACACTATCACTGTCTACGCTACCACCATGTCAGAGGCTGTCAAACTAAAGGAATCGATTCAAATAAAAATATCCAATATGAAATAAATGGGGTGGTAATGATAGACAGAGAGCACAAGGAAGGAGGGAAAAGAAAAAAGGAAAACTAAGATGTGGAGGCAGAGAGAAAATGCGATGCTAGCAAAAAAAACAACTTGATGGACAAACATCTCTGGGTAAGAGGCACCATGGGAAACATCTATTGTAGAATGTCCCATTTCTCTCTAGCACTACCAGTAAACCTGAGAGGGCAATTGCGGTCAAGAAAAGAAGAATGGGATCCATTGGGAAAAGGTCAAAATGGAGATAATCCTGAAAGATGGGTACTTAGTTTTGACTTGCTGAATCTTTGTTGCTATTTATCATTGTTTAACCTTGAGAAATGAATGCTTGTTTAAATCACATCTCACTAAGCTGCTATGTTGAGGGCTTTGTTCACAAAACAGGGAACCAAATTCATTACAGAGAGTAGGAAATTCCCAGCAGCCGACAAAACGGCAAGGCAAACTCTCCAATGCATTGGATGCAATAACAGGAGGCTGTCATAAATCACAGGAGCGGGCTAATTGATACTGTTTGCGTTAATCAGTAATTAAAGTGTAACACAAAAATGGCTATAAAATGGATGATGTTTATATGGTAATCAACATGGAGCTGTCACATAAGTCAACTCTAGGTTAATTAGTGTAAATAAATTTTTGACAGAAGCTCTAAAATGACTCTGTTAATTAACTAGTGCACTAAAGTGAAATTATTCACTCAATGTTTACCTCATGTAATTATAGACGGCAGTTAATCAGAATGCATTGCCCCAATGCTTTACCAGCTCCTGAGTTCGTCAAGAAGTGACGTTTGTGTTTAGCAAAGCAAAAAGCTACAATAACATAATACAACCATAAGGAACCAACTATCTTGTGAATGTGATGCAACAGTTCAATAAACAATACAGTAAGTTAATGTTGTGTAACATTAGTGACAGTTTTATTTACTATGCATATTTTTGCTCTGTCAATCAAAAATAAAGTGAAGCCACTGCAGCATTTTCTGTCTCTGAGTCTCTGAGCAACACATAGTTTGTTTCAGAATGAATCACTGTTTTGAATGAATTTTTTGAGAGAATATTTCAATGATTCACTCATAAGGACAGTCTCAAACAAAAATTGTCATTCTTGATTCGATTGTGATATTCACAATTTTTTAAGCGGGCCATTTTGGACTTGAATGTCAGCTGTTCTTAGTTATTTTAAAGGGGTCATGAACTGAGAAACCAAAATTCCCTTGATCTTTTGACATATAAGAGATCATTGTGCTATAAAATCACCCTGTAAGTTTCAGAACTCAAAACTTTCTTGTTAGTCTAAAAACAACTTATATTGAAGTCAGTCTGCCAAAACGACAGCTTGTGGAATGTACCACTCTATGACGTAATAGTTTGGCTAAACACCGCCTCTGCAGAAGAAGATCAATGTCTGCTTCTACATCGCTGCCTGTTTAGCCCTACCCACCGATTCACGGACGTAGTGCAAATAACAAGAAGCAGACGCATGTCTATGCAGAAACAAAATGATAAAGATGGCTCCGAAGACAACAAGATGCTGTGCAGTGCCAAGCTGTGGAAAAACATGTCTTTACATTGCCTTCCTTCTGATCCCAACGTTAGGAAAGAGTGAATGACCAGACCACGTCAGTTAGAACTCAGTTCTTTTTTCACTTCATTTTACCGCGGATTCGTTTACAGACAAGGCACAATTCGACACTGGATTTTTAGTAAGCAGTTCATGACCCCTTTAATGGTGAAAATCAGTCTGTTATGCTGCTTTATGTTGCAGATTGGTATCTGCTATCATACTGATGATCGTAAACAAACATATTGGTTTGTAGCGTAGATAGTTTAACCAATCACTGCACTTTGTGAATCTTCTAGTTATTTACCTATTGAAAGTCGCATTCACGGAAAATAGCTTACTTCTGCATTTAAAAATAAGGTGGATACAAAATTTTATACTTGTCTTTTTTCCAGTTTCCATCTTTGAGCAAGTTGGATGTGTTATTGAAGATTCTTTATTAATGTAGAAAAGGAACAGGGAATGTTCTTCAAGCATCAAGGCCACCAAAGAAGTGGACAGTCACAGTTGTGCTCTACATCCATACATAACGCAGCATCACAGCACGAACGAATGCATACATACGTAATGAAGACTAAATGTGAAGTAATGATTTAAATGTGCATAGCAGGTCACTGAGATTTATTAGATATCTGCTGCTATAGAAACCGACTATATCATTTATGATTAAAGTCAGAATAGTAATGGCACCCTGCTCGTCCTCATTCGCATCATTAAACCTTAGCACTGAATCATTCCCAGCAGGCCAGTCCTACAGGGACACACACATATGCAGAGTGCAAGCTGCTGCAGCCTGGTGACTCTCCCTCCTCTCTGTCAGGTCTGTCACTGGCAGCCAAATCCTTAACCTCCCCATTACCACAATTAATGCCCGGGTGAGGCCACTCCCCCCAGCACAGCTCCAGTCATTGTGACAGGCCGCTGTAGCTGGGATGAACATACCATTAATCACCAAACATGAATAATCAAACGTCTGCTCAGAGCCCAGGCCTGCAAAAAATGTCATCCCTTGCCAAAGCCGGAGATAAGGATTTGGCTGGGAAATGACTCATTCATGCTACAGAGAACAGAGAGCTCTTTCGTTATGTGCGCGCTCAGACTTG